TTTTTGTTGGAACACGACTTGAGTAATTAAATAACACAATATTGGTATAGATGCAATTAAAATTGGCTGAAACCTAAATATTTTACAAATCTTGTAGGATAGGTATATATTATTAGATATGTACAATGGACACCTAACTATAAATATACCATACTTTTTTTTTTGTACAAAGAGGAGGTTAGAGCCTAAGACCATTAGATAGGTATGTTCCGTGGATAGGCCACGCCAATAAGGTCGAGTTGTAACCACGGTTGAACTACTGATGGCGGGTCAAATGATCGTTGATATCCACCATGACAATTATGAGCTAAAGTCGCCAAACAATCAACAGCAAAGTTAGCTTCTCTATAGCAATGAGTCACCTTCACATCCCAGTCTCGGTAAAGCAACTCTCGTATGGCACGAACCAAGCTTCCATGCACTCCAAGGTTGTCTGTTAGGCCCCCTGCAGCCATTACCACCACACTTTTATTGTCCACTTCGACGATAGCCTTACGACATCCCAAATCCCACGCGAGCAATAATCCTTGGAAGAGCCCCATAACTCTGCTCCTATAATAGAGCAGTACTCAATATTCATCACAAACTCCCCAAACCAACGGCCATCAACATCTCGAACCAAACCCTCAGCGGACGCCATCCCAGACGAAGGCAGAAAAGAACCATCTGTGTAAATTTTGACTACAACATTGTCAAGAGCCTCCCATCGAATAAACTGTACGTCACGTCCCACTCCGAGGCCGCCCAGGTGTCTCTCAACATAGGTGGCTAATTTAATTCCATGAACAAATGAGCGAGCGGACTTTCTTAACAACATTAAACTCCTCATCTGAAAAAATCTTTTCATTTCTGCCCCTCCAAATTTGCCACATCGTGCCTCCAAAAATAGTTTCCCAACCAGCAACTCCATTATTCAAACCATTTTGCAGGTTCCAGAGCAGCCAATCTCGCAACGACAAGGTAAAAAGTTCGAGGTATCGATTAGCGGGAAGCAAGCGCCGCCAAACCTGTTTTGCCCGTACACAATCTCGAAGACAATGAAGAGTCGATTTCTCAACTCGCCCGCATAGTGTACAAGTCGAGGAGTCTGTGAGTTGCCGCCTCCGCCTCTCAACATTAGTGAGCACCTTTTCTTGCACCACGAGCCAAAGAAATTGACATATCCTCTACGGACCAACCCATTTCCAAACAATACGTCATGAGCAGCGGTTACTTGTACTCGTCGGACATGCACGAAACAACGATGGGTAGGCCAATTTTGTCGTAAAACACCCATTCTCCTAGAACCCCCAGTACATAGTGTCGGGCCTGGCTTCGCGTGATGGCGGCAAGAAGGCTGCGATGCACATGGAGACGCCGGCCGGCACCAAATGACCAAACAGGTCCCACCTCCACTGGCCCAAGGCAAAATATACCCTACTTTGATTCTACAGATTATTTATACAGACGTACACTGCCGAATGACTCAGCTACAAATCTTCAAATTTCATAAATTACACATGCACAGAGAAAATGAGAACTCTTAAATTCATTCTAATCACTCTGCTCATGTACAAAAACATTGGGAGTTTTAAGCTATAAGACCCAAAATGAATGAAAAAAAAAAAAAAGAAAGAAATATAATGTAAGACGCAGTCCCTGAGTAGCAAGCAACTGGAGTAGGGCTGTCTAAGGTGAAACTTGGCTACTCCAAGAAATTTTTGACTCTCAACTTCTGCTCAAAAAAACATTACTCGTTAATATTTCTGATCAGAAGTTGAGACTAACTTTTTCTTCCAAACCCTGTAAACCACTGTCAGACTAAATCATAACCAAATCCCAAAAATCAGCAAAGATCGAAAGCAGAGTAAATCCCAAAAAAAAAAAAAGAATGACAAAAAAGACGTCACATCTAAACATCAACCGAGTCCGGCATGCTGTCCAAAGATTCCACCCTCCGATGTTCAGGATGTGCGGACCGCCGGTCTAACTGATCCAAGTTGACGATTACCTCATCTCCCCTGGGAGTAGACGAATTATTTTTACGCCTCTTACTATATCGGGATTTGAGAACCCTTGAGAGCACAAGAACAATGTCCCTCATGGATGGCCTTCTTCTCGCCACACGATTCACGCATTTGTGGGCAAGAGTGGCAACCTCATCGAGTTCTTCTATATCGAATTTCCCGTCCAGACGAGGATCGACTATCTCCTCCCACCCAACTTTCCCTTCATTATTGTTCATGGTTGCCTGTATCCATAAAAGAAGTACCAGTTTTAGAGATGGGAATAGATAAAGTAAAGGAATATTGATCCAAAGCAGTGATTGGTCATTAAAAGAAAAAATCACTTTATTTTGGTTGGAGGAACTCTTTTGCACATTCTGAGAATGTAAAAATATTCACCCACTCTCACAAGTCTGATTAATCTTAATTCAGAAGGGAGGTACTACAGAGACTTATTTAGCCTAAAGATATGTTGTTAAAAAGAATTCAATTCTTCCAAATAACAAATACTCATTTGGGGTCAGCAACTATTTAACAAAGTACTCCCCCTTATAAGCATGTAGAAATAAAACAAACAAAAATATGGATAGGGTATTTGAAATTATGGAAGAAGAATTGAACTTTGAAATCAAACTGGATCCCGTGGGATAGTATCTATAATCAATTCTTTAAAATCATAAAATAAAATATTATATCTCAATTATTAACTCAGATATTACATTGTTCACTCAAGTTTTCTTCCCATTTATCTTATCTAAGTATAGTTTCATTATTTCTATGAGTAACATGTGTTCCAGCATCATAAAACGAAATATGACTAACAATAAGCAGAACAAGCAAAATAGTGAAGAATATGGCTAAAAGCAAAGAATATTCCCTGAAGACAGTGATTCAAGACCAAGAGAAACAAACTTACTAGCTCAACATACTCCATAAGACCCTGTTGAGGATTTCTTGCTGCAATAAGTTCGAATAACAGCACCCCGTAGCTGTAAACATCACTTTTCTTTGTAAATGACCGTGAAGATATGTATTCAGGATCAAGATACCCAAAAGTCCCTCGAACATTGCCCACTTTCCCATTAACCATCTCTTCCCTTGAAAGTCCAAAGTCCGCAACCTGCACAACAGCACCGATTTCCAGTTTTCAATTCTGATACACTTTTCCAATTCAGTAGGAATTTCACATCACCAAATTAATAAAAAGAAGGATACTTACCCTTGCTCTCATATACTGGTCCAATAAGATATTGGAAGATTTGATGTCACGATGTATCACTGGAGGAACTGCCTGAAGAAAATTGGAAGGCATAGTAAAACCACAGAAATAAATAATAAAGAAGGGAAACGAGACAATAAAATCTATGAACTGCAAATGCACAAAAGCAGTAGCTCTAGTTCAACTTACTCCATCATGAAGATACTCCAAGCCCCTAGCCACATCAAGTGCTATTAGAACCCTTAATTCCCATTTCAGTGCTCCAAGTTTTTCATCTAAAACACATGCAGAAATAAGGGTAAACGGGAGAAATCGGAGACAACAATAATATGGAAGCAGACATAAAAGGAATAACACAGAATTCATCTCGAGTCAGGTGGCAATCAGAACATGTGAATTTCAAGTTACTGTCGGTGCAAAATAATAGCACACAGACTTACAGGCCCCTCAATTAATTGCATTAGGAAAGCTTATAATTTGAGTTGTATTGATATATTAAAGAGAGTGCCAATTAACCTGAAGCAATCGGGCATACGCTAACTTACCATACAAATGAGAAGCCAAACTTCCTCGCTTCATGTAGACGTATATAAGCATATGCTGGTTCTTCTCAGCACAGTAGCCCACCAAATTCACAAGGTTCCTGTGATGTAGCCTTGCCAATAACATAACCTGAGAGTGAAAGCATATATATGCTTGTGAGTAAATGTAAACAGCGAAATGGGCCAAACATTTGGGAAAAATAATTTGGAAGAGTATATTAAGTCAACAAACAGAACCATGTTCATGGAGATATGCTGAGTCGTCACAACGAAGTACCTCTGTTTGGAACTCTCTCTCCCCTTGCTTTGAATCAGTTGCGAGCACTTTTACAGCCACAGTCTCACCAGACATCATCTGAGCTTTGTAAACGGGGCCAAATGCCCCTTGACCAATCAAGGTGGTAAAATTATAGGTTGCTTTCTGCAGATCCCTGCATGTTGATCCACCAAAACAAATACCAGGACCAGATTAAGTCGAAAGTATAAAATGCATTTATCAAATATAAAAATCTAATAAACATAGTAGTAGGCACTGTTTATGCCAAAGTGTTTCATAGATGCTGACTTGTTGTACAGTAATATTCAGGTAAATATATAAACTAAACTTGCGGAGGCCTAGAGCGAGTCCTAATACTGGAGCTCGAGCTGATAAATGCTCGGCTCGTTAACGAGCCTTGACGAGGTTAATGAGCCGAATTATGCTAAAAGTACAGGATATTATGTAAACCCCCCTGTTTTTCAAGCCTAATGAGCCTTAAACAAGCTTGAGCATTAAACGAGCCGAGATTGCCTCGTTTAACAGCTTTATGAAGGGTAATCTTAGCAACACAGATCAACTCAACAAGTCTCAACAGCATTTTGTAATTAGAAACTTATATTTTTATCCTGGTGGGAAGCACTGAGCAAGTTGCAAGTTGTACCCTTGTGTTAATATTCTACTATGAACATTGAACAAGAAAATTATACATATATTAGCTCAATAATTCCCTATTTCACAGCGTAATCCAGTTAAAATGGAGAGATGGTCACAAGTGAATCTTTGAGAAGCAAGACTAGGCTCCAATTTCTTGCTGCATTAAGCAGCTTCATGCTGAAATGAAAGTCATTTAAGTTCGAAAAGTAAGAATAGCAACACGTACTTGTAAGAATACTCTACTATTCCCGATGCAGAAACCATATTGGTCTTCTTCATTCCCCCGAGCCACAACAGCATACCTTTTGGCATGGCAGACTTGGGTGACTCGGTCCCGAGAGATGAGTCCGACAAGATTGTACAAGAATCAGCCCCATTTACGCGTATAGGGATATTAGCAGCCTTCAAAGAAGTGCTTTTCTCTATGTGTGGCCGCTTCTTGTGACACTTCAAACAAAAAAATGCGGCTATGGCCAAAGACAATCCAACCACTACCCCAATTGATAACCCAAGTATTAAGCCCAATGTCTCTCCCTTCATTTCAGTTTTACTGTATCATCTATGAATGTAATCCATCCACACACCTGCAGAAAAAAGTTTGGTACAGAAACTGAGACAAAAGAATATCGATTTTGGGGATTAAATACTCTGATAATCCAAAAACCCACAAGCAAGGAAAAGCACACAATAAGTCCTGGGCAAGTTCTCAACGGAATAGCCAAATCGAAGTAACGATTATGTCATCGGCCTAACGTTAAACACATCAACAGTGATTCCTCAAAAGAAGATACAAACCAAATCCCAGATCAAGAAATAGATAAAACAGAAAGGCCCAGATAAAAAACTTCGTCTCTAAAGAAAGATACTGCAAATGATAAACACAAAAAAAAGAAAGCAAAAAATAAAAGCAGCAACAATTATATATCAGACAAACTACATCATGATTGAATACAATTCCGTAAGAGTACGGAAGCAATAATTTTCAAAATGAGAACAGAGGTAACGCGTTGAGGTGACTTCATATAATTACACTTCTTTTGCAGAGTGTTGACTGAAACAAAAGCTCTACGAGGAAAAAAGAAATGGAAGGGGCAGCGGCGGCGGCGGAGGCGGCGGCGGCGGTTAACGATTTACTTTTATCTGTGTTCTAACGAGGAAGCAGAGCAATTTACAGGAAGATTTGACGAGGAGGAAAGAAAAGAATCAGATGCGAGAGAGTAAACCTGTAAAGTGCACACGCCCTTTTCCTGGATTTTGATGTTGTCGCGATTATTTTAGACTCTGCAAAAAGGCCAAAAACGAACTTGTTTTGCGGCCATTAGAGAACAATTACAGTGTGGCTAAAGAAGGAAGGAAGGAGAAACAAACAAAGGAGTCGGGACTGAGGAATATTTTATTTCTTCATTCTGCCATTTTTTTCTCCTGAAAATCTGGTTTTTGGTCTCCGGTGTGGAAGTGAGGGAGCAGTACGCGTTCGGAGTTGGTAATTCGGAATCTCCTCTTAATTACCCAAATTACCCTTCTGAGATCTTGCCGCTGCCAGTGTGTTGTCGCCTCCACTCGAGCATTTGCATTTGCTTTTCTCAAGGGAGAATGTGGGTCTGAGGACAATACCGTAAATTACACGAGGTGACGTTCTATTTAATTCTCAAATAAAGTCAAATCACATTCCTATTCAATTTTTACTAGTGCAGTACTCGTGACATTCCTATTCGACTATTTTTATTAAGGTAAAAATTTAGATTTGAATGATTGAATTATTGTAAGAACACGAACGTAAAACATATGTAACTTATATATTATTAAACTCATCCTTGCACACGACACAACATTCTTTGTTCGGTCTTTTAGTACATCGTCTATAGTCACAAATTATATTAGGATTCTAGATAGACTTAAATAATCACTTCAGTTATTTAGCAGGATATATATGGTATGATTTATACTGGTTTTATGAATAATGCATAGTCATATATAACGAAGATTGTAAAACGTCTTTCTTGATAATTTATAGCTTTATTATCTTAAGATTGTAAATTACTTAATTTAAGGAAGAGAAAAATTGTGTAAGTGTATACAATCCATTTCAAGTTTGTACTCTGGAAGATAAAACAAAAATCCAAAATTTTTAGAGTGTTGCAATCCGATTTCATTTTGATTTTCAAAATTAATATTATCTGACTCTGTTTTATATTTACAAAAAATCCAAAATGATAAGAGATTTTTAAATTTTAGTTTTCAATTTGAAATTGGGTCTGATTTATATGGAAATTATTTTTTTTAATAAACATGATCTGTTGTAATTAGTTAAAGATACATGTTATAGTATTTTGCCTATTTGAAATTCCCGATTTTATGGTAAAGATTTATTTAATAAAAAAAGATAGAATTTTGAATTTTACAAAATTGTCATGCCGAATTTTACCTAAATTAACCCAAATTATATGAAATCCATTTTTTTTAATAAACAATTGATCTGTTGCAATTAGAAAAAGATAAATGTGATAGTATTTTGCCTAAATCGAAAAAATTCCCAATTTTATGGTAATCAATTTTTTTATATATAAAAAAATGAGAAAGAATTTTTACATTTGCAAAATTGTATGCATCAGTCGAAATTTAGCTAAATTAAATCCACAAAACCCATAAATTTAGGGTACATATAAACTGATTGATTTTTTGGGAATAATTTAAAAAGAAAATTCAAAACCGTCAATAATAGAATGCAATAAATGTTGGATGACTTTTTTGGTTAATATTTTTGGTAAATAGTTTCTCTCTTTATATAGATGTAGATTAGATAATGTAGTTTTATTTTTATATTTTTTATATTGATTGATGATAAATATACTATGTGTTTTGAAAAAAAAAAAAGTTAGACAAATACAACTCAATTAATTATGTTAGTGTTGTATGCGTGCTTCGAAAGTCGAAAGCCCGCTTGAAGAACAAGAAAACTAGGGCCCAAGAAGTAACTTGACCTAATATAACATAACATACCAGGTCGAATATGGCAAACCGGTTGGTCGAACGGAGCTACAGTTAGGCCGAACGGAGCTACAGGGCAAAGAGTCCTCAGGTCGATGAGGACGTTGCAGGTCCAAATGAGTACCGACAAGTCGAGTTAAGGTTTTCAGGTGGCCTCGTTGAAACTCGACATGAAGACATAAATGGTCGGTGGATCGACTAGAAGAGCATCATACGAGCTTAGCACAGACAACCTCCACCTTGAGGTTAATTGGGTCGGTCGCACTATTATACCGTCTAATAAGACAGACTAATGCATAAGAAAGAACATTTTATTAAGATAAGAACCACACTTGGATAGGGCCACGTGGCCTAACAAAATTGAGCAGTTCAGGCAGTATGGACGGGTTGTTCCGGCAATCTGGGCAGCTCATCCGGACAGTCTTGGGTAACAAGATAACACCCCAATATAAAGGGGTAATGTATGTCCATTTATACATTACAATCTCTATATATTCTATACTTATAGAGCTTTACATAAACTGTTAATCATCTTCTTCATCTGTAGACTGACTTGATCGTTCGAGTCCTAAAGTAGGGTACCCCTCCTGACTCATTTTGCAGGTCTACGAACAGATCGGAGCACAGATCTAGGTCATGTAAGCCAGACAGAGGTCACACCATTTTGGCGTTGTTTGTGGGTCTTACTTAAAAAAACCATCAAACACCATAGCCATGACAAACGAAGCTCCCAGGAAGAATTTAAGGAATTTACGAATATGTTTCTCAACCAGTTTGCTAGCGCAAGGTCGAAGGTGAAAACATACCTTACATTGATGGCGATGCACTAAGAGAGTGAGAAGACTTTGAGAAGTTTTGTTTGTCGATACACCAGAGTGTGTGTCGAGATTCCTTCGGCCTCAGAGGAGGTTAAGGCTGGAGGATTGACCAAGAGTCTTCGAGGTGGTCCATGCAGGAGCTCGTTAGCAAAAAAACCGACAATGACCTACGATGAGGTCCTGACTAGGTGCAAAAAGTTTATTGATGTAGAGAAGCGTACGAGTAGGCGTGTAAGAGTAAAAAATCAAAAGACATTATTATTTCATCAATAACTAATCGGCCCTATGACAAGAGATCATAATATATACAGTCCAAGTCTCCTAAACAACCTATCTTGCCCCAAAAGAAAGACTAAGTAAATATCTACTTACCAACTTAAATAATACTAACAAAGGGATATAATAATAAGAAAAAGATAAATAATAATAAAAAAATAGAAAATAAATAAGTATCAAAGATCTTCAATCTTCATCATTCTCCTCCGATTGAGTAGGATTCGCCCTTAAATCCGTCCCGATCTCGTTGCTTGTGTCATTTGTTGTCCCACACTAAAACGCCAATCTCAAATGAAATCGTCCTCTACCTATCCATCAATTAAAAAAGATAGTTGTAGTAGCCCAAGAAAAAATGCCAACTCACTTCTAAGTGGATCTCATGTACATCGACAAAAGACTCGACTTGTCCACAGATGTAACACCTTGATTCATAAAATATCAACAACGACCCCTACATGTCGACGGCGCGCGTACGCCAGCCGCTCGTACGAAGCAAGCGCATCCTCTTCGTCTTTTCTCTTAATCTCCAAATTGGGCAAAACTATGGCACAACTTCACCAAGGTCTTTGTCGAGTAGACCCTACACGCAACACTCGAAAAATGTTAGATGCACTAAAAAGCTGCTTCAATTTCCAAGGCATATAATTTATATCCCCAAACCTTCATAATACCAACATCAGTACGACCGAATATGACATTGTATCCATCTTCAGTATTTATCTTGGCTTCCACGCC